GAGGCCGTCGAACTACAAGAGAGGCAGTCATCCACGGGCATCCGTCTACAACATTCAGGGAATCCATGGCTACGCTCGGTGTGCAGAGGAAGCGGGCATTGCTCCGCATGTTTTGCATGTATATGCAAGTGTTTGTGAAGGGAAGATTCTCCTTGTCCGGCTCCACTGTCCAGACGAGGGACACAAGGAAGTTGGAGTGTTTGCTGCGTGCAGTTCGTGCAGTTTCCACCAGGCTGGAAGTCCCCATGCACCATTTCATGAAGTCTGCAACATGCGCCATCGTAAACCTATCCTCGGAGTCTGTTCCTCGGTCGGTGTGGGTGAAGGAGAGAGCGGGCAGAACCTGGAGGGACATGCACAACCCCGATTTCATCAACGACGCGCGTCGGTTCAGGTCGTACTTCCGAATGCCTGCTCCATTGTTCAAGACACTCTTGGACTGGCTTCGCCCGCGGTTGGAGAGGCAGCACACCCAAATGCGGCTGCCCATTGAACCGGCCCGTGTATTGGCATGCGCCCTCAACCGGTTTGCGAGCGGTGAAACTTATGAGAGGGTCGGAGACAGGTTCGGTCTTGGCCATGCGACAGCCATCGAATGCACACGGCGAGTGACACAGGCAATCCTTGATACAATGTGGGGCCTCATATCTTTCCCTGATGCTGAGGGAATGACGCGCAACATTGCAAAATTTGCCAGACAAGGCTTCGCAAACTGTATCGGTGCCATTGACTGTACTCATTTCTTCTTGGAGAAGCCTGATAAGCAGCTGGACAGCGACTACCATGACCGCACACATAATTACAGTGTCGTGGCCCAATGCGTCTCCGACATGGACCAGCGGATCCTCGACTTCGCCGTTGGGTGGCCTGGTGCAGTGCACGACAGCAGGGTGTTGCGTAGATCCTTGCTCTACAGTCGCGCCACACAAGAGGGATTCTTCGCTGACACAGCAGCAAGGTTGGATTATGGGGGAAGGGTGAACCAGTACCTGATCGGTGATGCCGGATATCCGAACCTTCCGTGGCTTCTGCGACCGATTCCTGGCCAACCACAAGGCGATCGCAAAAGATTCAACGACGCACACGAGTCGGTGAGGAAGTGCGTCGAGCGTTGTTTTGGACGGCTCAAGGGGATGTGGCGTGTCCTGTACAAGCATCAGAAGGGCGATGTCGATGGGATAAACGCCCAGATCCAGGCAATCGGAGTTCTTCACAATTTTTGCATTGATGGCAATGTCTATTTTAACGTCGAACGCTTCATGGCCAGGCATCGCAATCTGGGTCTGTTCAATCAACATGATGATGAAGGTGGTGACGCCGGCATCAATGAGCAAAGTGGAGATGCAGCGAGGGATGAGGTGGTCGCCCACATGGCATTCAGAGCATTCAGAGCACCACGACGTGGATGAGCTTGGCATCAACCCTTCATCAGATGTTGATCGTTTTGATGGCTTTGTAGTGGGTGTACGCACTAGTTTCCAGTGCATTGTGCCGTCTTTGCTTCTCCGACGAACACAATGCTCAAGAGCGATAAATTACTTAACTTCATTTCGCCAGGATGGACAGTGCACGGTGCCTTTCCTTGTTCGGTTTGTTCTCGTCTGTTTCTCCTAGTATAGAGAGAGAGGCGAGGGTGGGGGAGAGAGAGAGAGAGAGAGAGAGAGAGAGAGAGAGAGAGAGAGAGAGAGAG